AAACTGCAGACCAACATCCCTCATGAATGTAAATGCAAAATCCTTCACAAAATATTAGCAAATAGAATTCAGAAATATATAAGAAGAATTCTACACCTTGACCAAGTATGGTTTTATTCTAGGAATCAAAGGCTGGTTCAAGCCTGGCCAGATGTGGCTCAGGGGTTGAGCATCCGACCTAGGATCCAGGCGATTGGGGTTCAATTTCCGGCCAGGGCACATGCCCGGGTTGTGGGCTTGGTCCCCAGTCGGGGGCGTGCAGGAGGCAGCTGATCAATGACTCTCTCATCATTAATGTTTCTACTTCTCTTTCCCTCTCCTTTCCTTTCTCTGAAATCAATGAAGATATATTTTTTTAAAAAAAAAAAAAAAAAGGCTGGTTCAATATTTAAAAATCAGTGTAATCCACCACTTCATTTTTTCTCAAGGCTTCCAAAGAATAGAAACATTTAGGAAAAGTGAACAATTAATAAGGAATACATTAAATGGATAGGGGCCTACTATGTTCCCAACCCTGGATATCTCACCAGTAGTTTAGAGCCACCTTGATATTTCCTAAAATCCTGCCAGAGCTGCCAACTTCAGGGAAGAGGTGCATTAGTCATCTCCTTTGTAAATGATATATACACTTTTGTTTTTCCCCCATCCATCATTTTATGAGGCAGCAGTTGGTCACTAGGCCAAATACTAAAGAATAGAAATAGTGTAGGGTAGACAATAGAATCGGTGGTCCATCTCCTACTCTAACACAAACTCTCTAAATCTCAGGTTCTTCATTTGTAAAATGAGAAAATCTATTATGAGACTGTTGGGAGGATTAGAGATAAGGTATGTATGTATATAAACTGTAGTCAAAATTCTACTTAAAACCTTCCAGTGCTTTTGTGTATACTTGTTTCCACATCTGTGTTTTTGCCTTATGCTTGTTTACTTCATATTACTTAACACTGAATTATCTCATTTCTTTCTTTGTGTGTTTACTGACCAGGAGATGTGTCGGTCTTATTCCTCACTCCAGAAATTTCTGTGATGGCTCTTTTCTTCATTCAGGTCCCCATGAGACCTTCTCTGACAACCCAATATAAAGGAGTGGAACCTCAGTTCTCAAACTTAATTTGTTACGGAAGGCTGTTTGAGAAGCGATTTGTTTGAAAACTGAATTATTTTTCCCCATTAAAAATAATGTAAATTAATTTGTCCCAGACCCCCTTTTAACCTTTCTTATATACATGTCTAATGTACTGTTTAATCTATAAACACTTTAAAAACAAAAAGGACATGAAATGTAAATGAAAATTTAACAAAAAGGAAAGGAAATGTACAGTAAAAAATGAAACTTTAATAAGCAGCAACAAAAGCAAAAAACACAAAAATATTCACAGCACAATTTCCTGAGATGTTAACAACATGAGGTTTAGTGGTAAATTGACTCATACTCACACATTCACTCCTTTGTTGCCTGAAAAATGTGTGATTCATCATATAGGTATCAGCATGAAAGGGTTGTCAGGTTGAGAAGCAAATTATTCGAGATGGGATACAGTTGAGAAGAGAGGTTTGACTGTATTCTCTCATGCGCTTCTCACCACTGTTTGTTTACTTCATATTAACACTATCTGAATTATCTCATTTCTTTCTGTGTTTACCGGGGCAGGAGATATGTCTGTCTTGTTCCTCACTAATTCAACTGCTTTTAGAACAGTGTTACTCCCTTCTCAGGATCTTTCCAATGCCCAGATCTTTCCTTTCCCTAGTATTTTACCACTCCCTGACCAGCAGGTTGTGTTTCAGGGTGAGCACAGCCTAATCCAGAATTTAAATTCCTGATAGGTCCCATCACATGTGTAACTTGGCTTCACCTTAACCCAGAGACAGTGACTCTCATTTTCTTTATTGACACAAAGTTGCTTTTACCCAAGGGAGGCTCTGACAGAGCACAGCATCCATTTTCAGCCCAGGCACCCAAAGGTACTAGTGTTAAGCAGAGATCATGCTGGGAGTGTCATCTATGATTCCTAGAATAGTTACATGTGCTTGGAGTGGAGCAGCAAAATAAAGAGACACAGCCAAGAGGAACATGTATATTTAAAATTCCTCCCCTTCATTTTCTTCTTCAAATGAATCAGTCCCCACTTCTTCATAATCCTTCTCCAGGGCAGCCAGGTCCTCCCTGGCCTCAGAAAATTCTCCTTCTTCCATTCCCTCTCCAACATACCAATGGACAAAGGCCCGCTTGGCATACATGAGGTCAAATTTGTGGTCAAGGCGGGCCCAGGCCTCTGCAATCGCTGTGGTGTTACTCAACATGCAGACAGCCCTCTGGACTTTGGCCAGGTCCCCTCCTGGCACCACAGTGGGTGGCTGATAGTTAATGCCCACCTGAGGAACAGAGAAAGAGGAGGATCAACAAAAGAAGGGCAGCCAAAGAGTGACTGGTGATGAGGCAACCTCATCACATGATGTGGGAGCAGAACTCAGGCGCAGGCATGAGCATGGGACTGCAGGGCTGGGGGTGAAAAGAGGGGAGCAGGAGGTTGGGAAACAGGCAGGTGGAGAGAAGTGAGTGCTGAGAATGTAAAAGTGAGTGGGATTGGGTACAGGCAAATTCAAGAGGAAGGACTAGAGAATCTAAAGACTGGTAAAGACAAAAACAAGAACAGAAATAGAAATGTTTGTGGGGAGATTCAAGTAGACAAATGAAGGTAATGAATGCAGTTGTGGGGAGGTGTACAAAACATGTTTATCTCTAAAAAGGGAAATAGATTACCTTTTAGAGGCAAATTAATTTCTAGACTGGAAATTATTATACAGTTTATTCTTTCCCAAATGGTCATTTGAAGTTCCTTTTAGTTATGTTGTCAGTAAATTTGGGGAAATTTCTCTGCCAAGGGTCAAGGGCTGTTTAAAAGGTCATGGAGATATTCCAGAGCAATAAATAAAAAGATCCGAAAGGCCCTGGCAATGGTGTTAGTGTTAACCAGGCCCTGTTTCTCTAAGGAGTGGTGCTTATTAGAAGAAAAGCAAGGACTCCAAGCAAAGAAAGTTAGTTAAAACTCTTGCCTGAACAAGCCTACTTCCCAGTTCTGATAGCATGGCAGGGTCCACCAAGCAAATCCAGCTCAATCTTATAGTAGGGCTACTATACTAGAAATCTTTCTTTTCCCCACACACATCTCAAACCAAAGCCAAATCTAGAACTGTAGGAACCTGGAAGAAATCTAAAGTGACAAACTGTGATAATACTTATGGTACACTGAGATCCATGGTGCCATCCAAAAAGTACCTCTTCTACCCAGGCCACAGTGCATTAATTTCCAATCTCTTCAATTCATAGCTTTAAAATACATGTTCTCTTGAGAGGTGGAGGTGGGAGTGGCAGCAGGCTATACAGCCAAGGTGGTTAACCCATTAAATGGATTCACAAAGGTCTACCATTCCTCTTAGACAAAAGTGACATCTTAGTGATAAAGGTGATGCTAAGGCAGGGGCAAAGACCAAAAATGAGAAGGGGAAGGGCAATGAATATGAACTCAGCCACATTACGTATTTTCCTAGATCTAGCCCTGATCAGCAAAAACTTGTTGCCTGGAGCCAACTCTCTTTTTTGAACAATAGTGTCCCTTGACCTAAGTCAAGTGGAGACAAACACCCTTGGGAAGGATGAAAGAGGAGGAAGTTCAGCAACATCTTCCCCACAGCCTATGCTTTTCTGAAAAGCAGATCAAGTTGATGGCACTACCTAATCTTTCTGGAATAACCCCAAAGGTTCAGCTTAAAATAAAGAAGAGAAAATGACCGGGGAAAGCGGAGGATCTCCTTTATATTAATTTCCCTGCCACCCTCACATCTCATTTTTTCTACTTTTTTCTTATTCATTTTCCTATTAGCATGTTTTGTTGTTTTTTTCCATTTGAAAAAGAAAAAAGAAGTGCATTTTTTTTAAGAGCTTGACCATTTTCACAATAGTAACCAGAACTGGCACATAAAATAGGCAGGGTCTTGGAAAAAGAGATTATGTATGTAGCTAGTAGAGCAGTGAGGAAGAATGCTACACTTCCTTATTCAGCAGATCAGCAAGGTCAGAGCTTCATAGGCAAATAGGTCAGCCAAGAGGTTGGCATATGGTGCCTTGTTTTTGTAAGTCCCACTAGGGAAAAACTGAGACATGTTCATCACTATCTCCAGTCTGGTGCTCAGTAAACCTCTGAATTATTAAAGGCCTGTCTGGGAAGTACTAATTAATGTAAATGGTGGTAGTTATTTTGCTGGTGGAATCTGATTAAAGACCATGGAACACAGGCCAAAATGATCAACCAGTTCACATGTTCAGAGCCAACTGCATGCCCAGCCAGTACAACTCAAAGGGGTGGCTTCATCAACATTCAATATTCAACCAGCCCTGTGATCCAGGGGTCTTCCCTTGATATTCCACATCTCCCCAAGAATATTTAATTTTTCACAATAAATTAAGAGAAGAACACATCTTTTGTTAAGAGGAAGGAATTACACTTCTTTGGCAATTTGAATAATTTGGTTAGCTCCATTTTCTAATCTATTGTCAGGTCACAACTAACTACACCCCTTAATCATGTTCATCCCATTTGCCCACACCTGTTCATTCTAGCTTGTCCACTCCTTTCTATAAAAGAAACATCCTTTTCTACCTGACCTGTGAAATGCATGCAGATCTTAGGATGGGAGCTGTAGAAATCTCTCTATTGCAATAGTGCCTCTACCCTTCTTTTTCTAATCCTTTCTAATAAGTTCCCCCCTCACCTAAAATAAATAAAATGAGTGGGTGACTTACTCCATTAATTAATTAAATTAATGTTACACTTGGCTTAAGCCCCTCTTCCCATATCATTCTATAAAGCCTGAAGTACCCATGGAATTGTATATCAGTCCAAGACCTGGAGTTTACACATCTTTCTCCCCCATCCTTGGTAGTCTACCTCTGCTTCTCTAGTTGTCTATCTCCTCCATAAGTCATCAGCTCTCACCTTGAAGCCTGTGGGACACCAGTCTACAAACTGTATGGTCCTCTTGGTCTTGATGGCAGCAATAGCGACATTCACATCTTTGGGCACCACATCCCCGCGGTAGAGCATGCAGCAGGCCATGTACTTGCCATGTCTCGGGTCACACTTCACCATCTGACTATTGGGCTCAAAGCAGGAGCTGGTTATCTCAGCCACGGAGAGTTGTTCATGATAGGCTTTCTCAGCAGAAATGATGGGTGCATAGGTGACCAGTGGGAAGTGGATGCGGGGGTAGGGAACCAGGTTGGTCTGGAACTCAGTGAGGTCTACATTAAGGGCCCCATCAAAGCGGAGAGAGGCAGTGATGGAGGACACAATCTGGCTGATGAGGCGGTTGAGGTTGGTATAGGTGGGGCGCTCAATGTCTAGGTTCCTGCGGCAGATGTCATAGATGGCTTCATTATCTACCATGAAAGCACAATCTGAATGTTCCAGGGTGGTGTGGGTGGTTAGGATAGAGTTGTAGGGCTCAACCACTGCAGTGGAGACTTGGGGGGCTGGGTAGATAGCAAACTCTAGCTTGGACTTCTTGCCATAATCCAGAGAGAGGCGTTCCATCAGCAGAGAAGTGAAGCCAGAACCAGTGCCCCCACCAAAACTATGGAAGATCAGGAAACCCTGCAAGCCAGAGCAGGCATCTGTCTTGAGAGAGTAAGACATGAGAAGAAACCATGAGGACAAGTTTCCAAGAATACCCTCATGTGAACAAAGGCAGGCAACCCTTCTGTCTGCCCCACTCCATCCCTCAACATTTTTATGTGGCTGAAATCAAAGCAGCCTTGATGGGGTAAGGAAACACAAAAGAATTGATCTTGGGAGGACTAGCTAAAATATGGGGCGGCAAACTATACATGCACATGCTTCTAGGTAGCGGAGGGTTTTGGTCCAGTGGCTTTGTTGAACCAAGAATGAGAGTTTCAGAACCATGGTGGTTAATGCCTACCCCCTTTGAGAGCCCCCAACTCCCCTGCCTTCATCATTTGATTCTGTGGAAACTACTGACATACACATCTCAGCCCAACCTTGGAAGGTGGCTCAGGGAAACAATTTCAGAAATATAAATGGAATCAGATAACCTGAGTTTTAATATAAATTTGCCATTTCCCAGTTGTACAAACTTAAGCAAGTTATTGAACCCCTCCAGACTTCTGTTGCTTCTTGGTTAAAGTGGGGCCATACAAAATACACTCATCTCATACAGTTATTGTGATAATTAAGTGAGCTAGCATAATATGCCAAGCAAGGACTTGACATGCAGTAAATACTCAATGTCAGTGCCTATCAGAATTAAGAGTATTCATAGATTCATAGAACTTTCCCATTGGGTATAATCTATGACCATTAAGTCCAATGGTTCTGAACTTTGGGGGATCAGACACCTTTGAGACTGATGATTATTATGACCCCTTCTCTAAATTGAAAAGGTGAGCATATAAAAAATTTGGCATCCTTAGCTCCCAGGAACCCTTGATCAAGTCCCCCCTTTTTCACTGGACAGATAAGGAAATGAGCATTCAAGTAGATAGTGACCACTCTACAACTAGGGCTTTCTAGTCAAATCAATCTGGTTTAAATCCTAAATCTGCCACTTTCTAGCTGTGTGACCTGGCCTAAGTTTTTGAACCACCCTGGCCCTCAATTTCTTCATCTGTAAAGTACAGGGAAGTGACCTCCTTCATATCATTATTAAGGGGATTAAATTAAGGAATATATTTAATCAACATTCATAATGGCATTTGTAAGTACTAAAATGTATCAACGATCACTTCTTCTTCTCTCCCAAGTTTAATGCTTTGTTAATCTATGCTTCCAACAAGCAAAGAGTTTAGCCTTCCTTATACGTGGAGTTTCCCCCAGACACTGCCACAGAGGATCAATAAGTATTAATGGGGCATCAACCTGTAGGGTAGTCCATGATGTCCAGATGGAGGAAAAGGCACCATCCCTGTGAATGCTTCTTACAGAACATAAGCAGGAATTCCCAAATCTTAGGAGCTCTATCCTGTAGTCAAGGGCCATATGCCTCCACCCATTCTGCTCAGAGGGCTATAAGTCTAAGCCTATTCACTTTAGCCTGATTCACCAGTCCCCTGCCCTTATAAACACTTACCAACTTCCTTATGCGGTCCAGCACCAGGTCAATGCTCTCCTTGCCCACTGTGTAGTGGCCCCGGGCATAGTTGTTAGCTGCATCCTCCTTTCCTGTGATCAGCTGCTCTGGATGGAAGAGCTGGCGGTAGGTTCCTGCCCGAACTTCATCTACCAAGAGAGGGGAATCATCGGGTCTTACTACCTCCATTCCCATTCGATTACCATATAACACCCTTCTGGGTCTTCACTTCCCTACCTGTAAAACTCTACTGAGGTGAAGCCAGACAACCCTGTAACAAATCTGCAAAAGGCTAAGATAATTCCCAGGTGACATAGGCACTAAAAGAACCAGAAGCCAGTGACTCAATCAAGTGTTGAGAAGCCAACTGCTCTCCTGACTGGAACTTTAAAAGCCTTAGGTTCACAAAGCTCACTGAACACTAAAGTCAATTGCCACTCCTTCCTTTTTCCCTTTTATTTTTTCTTTCATGCTGCAAAGTTATCCCCAAACTCAACCTGATTTCACTTGCATTAAAATGTTCTAGGGACACAGAGAAAGATTCAGGGTGATCTGCCCAGTTCCTAGGCTCTCCCAGGAATAATCCCCACCAACCTCCACCTCAAGATGGTAATAAAATATGCCAGGCATTAGAGATACTTTAGAAGGACTTTGAAGCAAAGCCATGCTTGGGGTTCTAGAGCTGCAGGAGCCCTAGAGAGGTTGTCAAGAGGACTCTGCTCACCTTTAAGGGTCCACATGAAGTGGGCACATAGCAGACCAGAAGCACCAGGCCCCAACTATACCTCCTCTTCCTTTCAAGGGTTTCTTACTCCCCCAGAGAAAGTACCCATTTGCATGTTGGCCCGTGAGGGTAATCTGCATTTTTTGTATTTGTACAAAGTACCCAAGGGCTGGAGTGCCTGGAGTCGGCTCTGCCTAAAAATTAGTGTTCAGACCTTACAGACATTTGCCCAGACATCTCTGTGAAACATCCAACCCTTGCTTGTTGAGCCAGCCTTGGAACTGAGGAAATCCTGACTGACCCAGGGGTCAGATCCAGGGAAGTGGTGCTTGTGGGGGAGGACTCAAGGAGAGACCTGAACTCTTGTTTTCTAAGATCCAAATGAGGTTCATGCTAGGACTCTAGCCACCTCTGGCTGTAAGAGAATATGCCTGCTATTACTCCATTTTGTGTGCCAGACTTTGCAAGTTATATCAAATCCATGAGAAAAGGTTGCAATTATTACAGAATCAGAAACATATACTTCAGGAAATTGACTATCTGGGGCCTTCCTATAATATCTAAAATCATTTGTAGTTTTTGCCCTTAGTATATTTTAAGCAATCTTGACAATTTTTTCTGTCTCCACAGGTTTAAGTATAGGGCATTTTGTTTGTACAGTATAGAGCTGTGATGGGAGAGCAGAGAGTCTTGGTTCCTATTGTGAGCTCCCCAAGACTGTGGAAAATTCAAGGAACTGACAGACATCATGGGGAGCAAAAGGGCTCTAGCTAAGCCATCTCCACCTTCCAGTTAGATATTCTGCTTCCTTAGAATCATGGACAAAGCTTCACAGTCTCATGTTGTTTTCTGTGGGGAGGGTCCTATCCCATACTCACCTACTACAGTAGGCTCCAGGTCTACCATGACAGCCCTGGGCACATGCTTCCCATTGCCAGTCTCACTGAAAAAGGTGGTGAATGAGTCGTCATCATTGATCTTGCTGGCTTGGGTGCCAAAGGTGCCATCTGCCTGAATGCCATGTTCCAGGCAGAAGAGTTCCCAGCAGGCATTGCCAATCTGAACTCCTGCTTGACCCACATGGACTGATATGCATTCCCTCTGTGGGGAGAGTGCAGAATATGGTCAGAGAGCCCTAGGACCCAGCCATGTTTTTGTCCTGTATCCCCCACATCTGAGGACTTGTCTTTCCTGGCATTCAACTCACAGGATGTCTATCTCCCCAACCCAGAACCAGGGTCTGAGGTCCAGGTGTCTGAGTGCCATTGCATTGGGACCAAGAATCAGCTCTGAAGAACCATTTTGTGGTTTGCTCTAAAGGTTGCTTTCTAAAGTTAATCCTTTGTACCAAGAAAAGAAAAAAGGGGACAATTGCACAAATGAAACAAGGGACTAATTCTAAACCATGAGACTTCTGTGCTGATGAAGGAGGTCAAAGAAAGAACCAGTGATAACAGAAGAAACTATCCCTAAATTCACTACTGTACACAATGATAGCATTCATATCTGTGCCTAAACCCTGACTTTCCTAGACAACAGGCACAGACACACGCAGTCTCAGAATATCATAGAGCAGATAAACATTCATGGAAGGCATATACTTTGGTGTATATCATGGGTGTAGTTAGTGTTCTAATCACAAACATAGGAATACGAAAGGGTTGAGCACCTGAAACTGACGTGTTATAAATGTCAAACACACACAGGGTTTCAAAACTTATTATGAAAAGGAAGGCAAAATATCTCATTCATAGTTTTTATATTAATTTCATGTTAAAATATGTTGGGTATATTGAGTTGAAAAAATATATTAATTCATTTCAAAAAAATAAATATTGGTATATCAGCAAGGGAAAATTGGGAACATATAAATTAGGCTCTTCCTGAACTCGGAGAAGTTGGAAAATTTCTCTGTAGCCACCATAACCTATTTCCTTGCCTATGTCTGGCCAAGTGTTAAATAAAGCTGACCTTTAGAGTGTCCTTACCTCTGTGTTACTCTGATGTGAAGTCACAATTACCTGGTTGATCCTAGCACTAACAGCTTCAGAGGCAGTGTGGGGGTGGGGGTGGGGGTGTGTAAGAATAAGTGTGTGAGTATGTGAGTATGTGAATGTGTGTGTGTGTGTGTGTGTGAATAGAAACCAACCATGGGGTTTTGCTGGAGGAAGGCCTCATCTCCCCTACCACAACCCACCTGTAGGGAAGCCTGTAACTGCCCATGACTCCCACCAGAGCCCAACAGGAAAGCATGTGCTTGATCTGTGGGTTTCTATTCTTATCCATGACCCTACCTGGCATTTTCCATCTCCGGGTAACCCAAGCCAGGCGCAAAGCCTCCAGAGCACGTGGCTGGTCATGGAAACACATTGAGTACAGGTCAGAATATAGGACTCCTGGGAACTTGGAAGTTCTCTAGGCATGGGAGCAAAGTGGCTGCTCTGAGTAACGTCTCAAAGAGTCAGAGGCTGTCAGGACCCACTGCTCCCTAGTTCAGTTTTCCAAATAAACACCAAAACTACACCTGTCTCTATGCCCTTGCCTTTGGGAGGATAGAGTACAGGTGTTCACAACAGCCAGTAGATAATAAAGCCAGGCAAGGATTACAACTCAGCTGCTTTTCCATGAACCTGGTGTCCAGGGAAAGGCTTCACTCACAGTGTTGCCCACACCCCCAGGTCTGACTCTGGCTGTATTAACTTACTTGCTATGTGACCTTGGCTGAGTTACTTAACCTCCCCTTGTCTGAAAATAATAAGTTAGCCATGGTTATTGTTGTCATCTTTACCAACATCAATTTCATTATTCTACCTTGTAGTTTTATATTCCACATGAAAGAGACAAGTAGAAAGATAGAGACTTCAGGTCCTCATTCCACTCACTTTTATTGTGAAGTCTATTTTCTTTCTTCACCTGAGGACTCAGTTCTGGCCTAAGAACAGCAGTGTCCCACAACCCAGGAACTACCCACAACCAGCTGTTAGCAACCAAACTACATCTTCACATCCAGCATGCAGCCGTGGCTTCCTAAGGAGGTATCTAAAGCTGAGGGAACATTGGAAAAGCCTAAAAGAAGCCTCATCTTACATGTCTTCATTCTAGGTCACCGCATCCTCTGTGGTCCCGACCTCGAGCCTTGCCCCTTCACCACCACCACACCCCAACCATCCTCCAGGCCTATCTGTGGGGCAGCTTGGTCTCCAGTGAGCCTGCCCTTCTGAAACACTCTGGGCCTTTTTGGCAAAGATGCAGGGATATTTAAAGAAGATGAAAGATCACAAGAGGAACAGTAAAAGATCTTAGGGACTTGAAAACCATCGAATCAATCTCTCTCTCTCACACACACACACGCACACCCTTAGGAAGAACTATTTTCCCTATAAAATGGATTCACAAGAGTAACTGGAGGAATAAGATAGACTTGGAAATAATTGATAGGTTCATAGGTGCTTCCAAAACCCAAAAATGGCCACACCAATCAAAGGAAACAGATCTCTCTCCATACATTCTGTCCCCACTAACTGGAACCAAGGCTGGGGCAAGGCATGTACGCAATGATCCCTGAAAGCACAGACACAAACACAGATTGGGATGATGTAGAAATATCTCAGAAACCAACTTGAAGGAGCTCCCACAGTCAAAGATGAAACACACTGAGCATCAAAACAAAGATTAACAGTACTTGATTGAAATAGGACATATATAAAAATCCACAAGTCCCTAGTATTGTGAAAAAAAGGAAACCGCCCTAAATAAAATTCATTTTTCCCCATTCAAACAGCCTTGTTGATGAGGGAAAGCTCTCTTTTTTTAACAGAAGAGTGTCAACTAATCAATGTAGAAGGAATGATACATTAAGAAATATTGCCAGGCCCTGGCTGGGTATCTCAGTTGGTTAAAGCGTTGACCCAACATGCCAAGGTTGTGGGTTCAATCTCCAGTCAGGGCACATACAAGAAGCAACCAATGAATGCATAAATCAGTGGAACAACGAATCAGTGTTTCTCTCTTTCTAAAATCAATCAATAAATAAAAACTTATAAATAAATAAAAAGGAATTGCCATATTACAGTTTCTAATTACATAATTGATTTGAACAAGGATGCCAACACCATGAAGTGAAAGGATGATGGGGAGCTGGATATTCAAATAGTGCCAAAGAATCACTGTTACTTACAGGTCAGGAGGGGTAAAAGTAACCACAATGGTCACCAGCCTAATACTGGGATCAATCTTAACACTGCTAATAGTGAGAAAAATGAACAGTAAGGACCTCCTAATGTGATACAATGTGAAATACATAGCACCACCCATGAGGAATACTTGTCATAAATACTCAGTCTTGCCCTGGCCAGTTTGACTCAGTGGTTAGAGCGTCAGCCCTTTGACTGAAGGGTCCTGGGTTCAATTCTGGCCAAGGGCATGTACCTCAGTTGCAGGCTCCACCCCAGTCAAGGCATGAGCAGGAGGCAACCAATTGATGTGTCTCTCTCACATCAATGTTCACCTCTCTCAATCTCATTCTCTCTCTCTCCCTCCCAACCTCTCTCCCTTCCACTCTCTCTGAAAAAATAATGGAAAAAATATCCTCCAGTGAAGATTAAAAAAAAGAGAAATACTCAGTCTTTAATCTATTAAACCCTTGGATTTAGCTTCCATTTAATAGAAAACACAGGGATCAGAGCAATAAGTGACATGAGAAAACAATAAAAATAATCCAGAAGGTGGAACATTCTACATGGCAATTGGTCCAATCTTTTTAATTCATGAAAAATAAGGGTAATATGAAAAGAAACTTATGAAGCATAACATCTACATGTATGTAAACTTTGAATTCTGGTTTGAACAAGTCAAAATATTTGGGAGACAAATAGAGAAATTGATTACTTTTGTTAAGCATGATAATGAAAGTACAGTTAAATATGAAAATGCTTTTTTTTTAAGACTTATTTTTGAAGCATTTGGGGTAAACTGTCATATCACTTTTATTTTACTTTAAAATACTTCAACAAACACAGCAGTAAATATAGCATAAATATAATAATTATTAAATATAGATGATATATGGGTGGCATTATACTACTATATTTTTCTGAAGGTTTGAAATTTTCAAACAAAAAAGAAAAAAATTAAAGAAGGGAAACAGAGGAAGAGCAGCGGTAGGGAGTCTACTGATGATAATTACCTTATCCTGAAGGCTCTTCCTGTCCCATTTCACTTAGTCATCTATTCAACTAACATTTGTCAGGGCAAAAAAGAATTTTAAAGTTACACAAAGAAATCACAAGTGACACTAAAAGTTCCATGAGCCCATGTGGAGCACTAAGATCAGAGCCCTTACTCAGCATTCCAACTCTACACACACAAGTAGTAGCCCAAAGTTCCTCCATGGCACTCCTCCAGCTCAGGCACTGGGGTAGACCTCCCTAGTCACTTGGCTTCATCACTGTCCCCATCCTCCTATTACAGAGGATATATGAAATCTTATGCTAACCAGCAAAATAACCTTCTGATTAAATAACATATAATGAAAAATGCTTCTTCCCAGATCAGGGAACAGGATATATGCCTTAAAACAAAGGCCCAGTTTGTCATATAACATTAATGGCATTTTAAGCGTATTACAGGAACTAGCTTCGAGGAAGAAGGCTGACTCCAGCAACTGGACATTCTGGCTCCAGGAGACTTGCTGACTCTCAACCATAAAAACTGAACCTCTGGCCCAGCTTGGCATGGCTCAGTGGTTGAGCATCGACCTAGGATCCAGGAGATCGAGGTTCAATTCCTGGTCAGGACACGTGCCCTGGTTGCAGGCTCAATCCCCAGTCCGGGGAAGCAGTCGATCAATGATGACTCTCTCATCATTAATGTTTCTATATCTCTCTCTCTTCCCTTCTTCTCTTTAAAAATCAATAAAATGTGTTTTTAAATAATACAAAAAAATTAAACCTCTGCTTGACCAGTTTTGAGATAATCATCAAAATGGACTATGCTGATTGACACGAGAACTTTCAACCACTCCCCCTCTGATTTCTTTGTTCTGCTTTCCCTCTCCCTCCTGATAAAGACCCCTGCCTTCACTGAGATGTTAAGACGGGCTT